AGCTTACGAGGAAACTTTTTCCACGGCTTTACGAGGAAATCTTTCCTCGTAAATTAGCTAGGCCTTTACGAGGAAAATAGCCTTTACGATGAACGTCTTTCGACGAAACACGTTTCCTCGCTATTTCCTAGTAAAGGGCCCTTTACTAGGAAATAACGAGGAAAACCCGTCCTAGTAAAGGACGTGTTTTCTTGTAGTGAATATTTAAAATTAAATCTATTACAAAAATATATTTAAAATCAATAATCTACACGATGCGCGAGAGTACTAAGAGCACCATTAACCATAGCTCTTAGCTATTGTTCTTAAAAAAAATTAATTTTTAAATTCGTGGGTCTCACCATTATTTTAAGAACCACTTCTCATGTGCCTTGTGTAAAAGCTAACTCTTATAAGGTTCTTAGACTATTCATAGACTCCACCAACATATGGCGACCCACGATTGGTTCTTTTTTTTTGTTTTTTAAAGACAAATTTTTTTTTAGCCTTGTGTAAAAGCTAACTCTCGTAAGGTTCATAGACTATTCACAGACTCCACAAATATATGGCGACCCACGATTGGTTCTTTTTTTTTTTAAAGACACTTTAAAAAAAAAATCCGAAGAACCATTAACTAAGAGCTAAGGGTTAATGATGCTCTAATTATATATATATATATATATATATATATATATATATATATATCTTTTTTTCTTTCTTTTTTATTATTATTTTATTTTTTTAGTCAAATGGTCCCCTATAAGTAAACCCATCGAATAGCTTTCTCCACTACCTTCAAAAAGAAAGAAAGAAAAATTAGACCAAAAATGTCCGAAGAGGTGGTGGTGTTGAACTTTTGGCCAAGCATGTTCGGAGCAAGGGTGATCATGGCGTTGGAGGAAAAAGAGATCAAATTCGAGTACAAGGAAGAAGATGTCTTTGGTGACAAGACCAAATTATTGCTCCAATCTAACCCGGTGCACGAGAAAATTCCGGTTCTCATCCACAACGGTAAACCGGTATGCGAGTCCAATATCATACTCGAATATATAGACGAGGTCTGGAAAAACGATAAAATTCCCCGTCTACTACCTTCTGATCCTTATGAGAAGGCAAAGTGTAGATTTTGGGCTGATTTAATCGATAAAAAGGTAATATTATACTATTTTAATTATTTGAGTATGAGTGTTTAGTTGGTGTACCAATAACGTTATTTTATTCATCTTTTGGATTCAATTCTGTAGAAACGTGGGTGAACCGAATCTGAATAATGGAGCTCAATAATTTAACTTACCCCAAATAATTATATTTATATAAAAAATATGAAATGAACATGTAAGACCAATGAATATTGTGTTAATAATAAAATAACAAAATGCTAAAATAATAATCTACTAATAATAACAATCTCCATTAATGTGAAAGGTTGTGTCTTTGTATAATTATACTAATGAAAATTATGAAGTTCAAGACATCATCTTTTTCATAGGAAAAGAAGTTTTAGTCTAACGGTTAAGATTTTTGGTTTTTATGATATAAGGGATATAGCTTTAAATGATTGACATCATCCACGAAATTGTTTTAATTTGCTAACTCTTTGAAACAACACATCTTGATCTCGTACATAACAAACGCATCTTTTGATAGTCTTATAATAACTTTTTGAAATGGAATGGTTGAGATTATCACACCTTTTAATCCAAGGATTGACCATTTGTTTTGACAAGACAAAAGACGACGCTTTATGTGGGTCGTTGAAGCATTGATGGAGTTGTGACTCTTCGTTCTCATCTCTTCCAACGTTTATATAATAATAATAATAATAATAATAATAATAATCTATCCAATAAAAAATTAGTAGGTAATTTAACACAAAAAGTAAAGAATTTTATTATCTATCGCCATTGCAAAAAAAAACAACTTACAGAATAATAGTTTAAAATATTTCATTATTTCTTTTGTTGAAGAATGATACTTTAATATATAAAAGAATGGTATGGGGAGACCTTATAGTTCTAAACATTTTCTAGAGGATTTTTTTAATTTATGTGTCACTAATATATAAAAATTAGGTTTTTGACGCAGGAAGAAGAACATGGACGAAGAAAGGCAAAGAACGAGAAGAAGCGAAACGAGAGTTTATAGACACATTGAAACTATTAGAAACAGAGCTTGGGGAAAAGGTCTACTTCGGAGGAAACGAAACTGTTTCAGTGGTCGACTTGGTCCTCATCTCTTATTACCCTTGGTTCCACACGTGGGAGACAATAGGTTGTTTTAGCCTCGAGGACCATATTCCGAAGCTAATGGATTGGGTCCGTAGATGTTTAGCCCGACCAGCTATCTCTAAATCTCTACCTGACCGGCTCAAGATTCTTGGTCGAGTCTCTCAGATAATAAAGGTCCATGAGTTCTTCTATGGTTATTGATATTCCAATGTTCTCGCTTTTAAATAAAATAATGATATGAGTCAGACTCATAAGTGTGGTGGACCGACGACTTTCATTTGTGGTGGTGGTGTGAAAAATAATATGTTATGTTTCATAGTTAAATTGAAATAAGTTTATTGTCCTTGGGACTCTCTAGTACTTCCCCCGCAATTTTTTTTACTAAAATTAAATATCATCTCATGAAATGAAAGTTGAAATTTTATAACATATAATAATGAAAATGAAGAATTTATATTCTTGGTTCCACTGTAAAATAAAAAATAAAAGAACATAAAAACATGGAAGTAAAGACAATCAACACTGACCCGTTTTGCTTAAAAGCGAATATTATTAGAAGTAGGGATACAAATTTGAAAGACTAGGGTTAGAAATCTTGGCGACATAGACAACAAATGAGAAGCTCAGATTTTAATCTATGCAAGTTTACTTCTAAGGCACATAATGGATAATATCATACTAATTGGATATTAAAAAGAAAATCACGGACTCATCTTGTTCAAAAAAAAAATAATTGTTCAAAAAAAAAAGTCACGGATTCATCCCAATTCCAATAATTGGTATTAGAGTTTCCAGGTTAACGAGAATTCTGAAAAAATACCAAAATAGTCTTTAAGATATGAATCCTTCGAGATATGAAGGTATTTTTCAAAATATGAACGAGAGGTATGTGGCAGAGATTAAGTTAGAATATTCTGAAAGTTCAGTTGTGGGGCATGAAATGAGTGTGATCTTTAGTTTTGGAGGGGGGGAGAGAGAATGTGAGATACAAATAAAGTCTCACATTGAAAAATTATACAATGAGTATCTAATATAAAAGGAGATATTCAACTCTAATTAGTACGAGTCCTTTTGAAAAGGAAACCAAAAGTAAATCTCTGTAGATTTTGCACTCAGGTCCAAAGTGAACAATATCGTACTAATCAGATATTAAAGAGTTGGACACGAGCTCATCACATTCCCAACAAGAATCATGTGCACGAAGAAGACAAAGAAAACGAGTAGTGATTTCCTCCAGCTGCCGAAATACCAGCGGCCCATGAAACTTTTATATCTGAAGTCCCTATGCTAGAAAAGAGGTTTCATGTTATTCAATATATAATGATGTTTACTTGTGGATGTATATTTCATTTTATTTTTATTTTAACATCAAACAACTATTCTATTACTCAATCAATAAAATACATAGCATTATAAAATGTTCTTTCAATTTTATCTAATGACTTTGTGATAGAGTTTTCAGATCAAGGATAATTATATATTGTGAACCCTTGAAACCTTCTCTTTAGAACCGATAACTTCTTTAGGTCAATCTAAAACCTTGGCTAAGTTCATGGGTCTGGAGTCATCGATATCTGGTTCTCATAGTATGTTCCAAATCTATGGCATGATGAGAACTCCAGCATACTTTTTACTTCGTCATAAAACTGCTCAAGCTCTATATGTACTGATGACACATTCGTTCATTGGTTTCTTGTGGCCCAGAACTGAATTTTCCTCATTAAGTTATTCAAACTCAGCCAATACCAAGTGTGATTCTTGAGTGCAAAATCTATTCACCATACAAATATTATGTTAGTATAAGACTTGTGTAGGTGGTATATATTCTCGTGTTTCTAATTCCCCATTTGGACTTTCTTGCGCTGCACAAGATTGACATTTCATCTCCACATATATAACACTCTGCGAAGGAACTCTGTCTTTATAAAGCTTGTATTTCTTAGTTTCCATAGATACCATATTAACTATGAATAAATATCTTTATCTATCTAGATCTTCATTGTTGCTTTTCCTCCAGAATAAGTACCCCATGTTGGTATAAGCACTTGATATCTGGAAAACCGAAGGACATAATGACATTGCAGATAGATCCTATGTTTGTAAACCTGGTGGGCTTTCAAAATAGCATGGTTAGTCGATTAATCTAAGACTCCAACACTGGGACAATGCTTATCACATTGCATAAGATAAGATGATATGTTAAATTTCTTTTTACTGCTAAATGTCTTGTCAAAATCTGCCAAATAAAAAGATTACCTTCTCAAGCAATGACTTGGAGATGCGCAGAATAAGCTATGAATATATAACTTCATTTAATGGTGTAGGATATTCCTTATACATAATACTCAGATATAATTCTATCTTGACCATATTTCGTATAGCTCCATCAAAATTATCTCAAAGCCTCAATTGACTCACTCCAATCTCTGTGTCAATGGAATATCCTCTTGTACCACCACATTCTCCAAAATTTCCATTTTCCATTTTCTCACCTCTCCATGAATGTAATCATTTACGTTTATAATCAGATCAACAACATGATCATTAGGCCAAGCTGGTCTCATATGGATTGTTGGAAGTTATGGATTATATAACTTAATAGTCGAGTTTTGATTTCATCAACACATAATTTTCTTAAACCTACAATCAAATTCTCGATATGTTTGGATACGCTGAATTCAGATTCAACAATTTGTCTAAATTTTGTATTTTGTTCATAAGAAGTTGAAAAATGAGTTACATTCGTACTAATGTTTATTTAGTTTTGTATTTATTGATTAAGATTGAATTTGTAAATAATAAACTAAACTTAACTGTGGTTTGTGTGTAATTATATAGCAAAGTGTAATTTTGTGTGTATATAAAGCTTTCAACTTTTATTTTATTTGTAAATAAGTTTATGAAGTTTTTTCTACAGATAAATAGAATGAGGAAATAACTTTTTCATATATAGAGAGTAATATACCAACGTTTCAAAAGAAAAGTAAATAATTAATCCAAAATGTGAGATCATTGGCTCGGCCCAAAAGGGGAAAACCCTAGTTAGTTCCGCACCCATCCCTCATAAAAGGAGGAACCCCCTTAGGTTAGAATCATAAGAGAGACAACAGCGAAGCCCTGCCCAAACAAATACATGCCGTCGCCTCTCACCACTGACCAGCCTCCTTGTCGTCCACCACCACCACTGTCTACCCTCGCTGGAGCTCGAGCCGTCGTCAGCGAAACCCTAGCCGTCGGTTGCCCGATTCTGCTGAGGGTAACCATCTCAGATCTAAAGCATAAGGTAAGGTTCAGATCTCCTAGCTCCTCCTTGTAAGCCGTCTTATATGAATAGATCTGAGATCTAAAACCCTTCATCTTGTTTTGTTCTATCAAAAGTACAGATCTAGTATTATGACCGCTTCTCTAGTTCTTCTTAGATCCAGATCTGTTCAACCATGAAAACTAAGGTGAGGACCCGACCGTTAACTCTTCTCATGTCCAGCAAGCCTTCAGGGGAAGTCCCTTGTTTAATAAATTCTAGGTGTAGTTAGGATCCTTTCATATTATGTATTTCATGCTTGATAAATTTGTTAGATTGATATCACTCAAATTATCCTAAAGAGTGACTTACTCTCTCAAACAAGAGGTTCAGTTGTAGCACTTAATGATCGAATCCACAAGGAGCTAGGGAACCAATTAAATTTAATCAAGTAAATAATACTAGGTTGGTTCATGAAATTAAACTAAAAAGCAGTAATGAGATTATAATAAATAGCAATAAAGATCCTAACTGAGCAAAGTAGTTGCTTTATTAAATTGATTGAGGGTTGAAACTTAATTGGAAATGTGTTAAACTTCGAGTTTTTATTCATGTATTAGGCATTATAATCCTACTGGTGCTAAACAGTTGTATGCATGATATTGAAGAGCTCAACCACTAAATAAAAATTCATCAGCATTCACTTGCTGAATAAGTCTATTAACTAGATCCATTGACCCAAACAAGGATGTTCGATCAGTAGCAGTGTCGATCGGTTATTCTATATGAATATCGATCGATTCACTTTTCTCTACGTCGATCGATTTCCTATGGGAGAATCGATCGACATGCTCCTAGTTAAGCTTTATGCACGAGTTAAATATGCCCACTAAAGACCCCTAGATTCAGCTCTCACTATACTCTAGATAATCCTAGCTTAATAGAATAGATTCAAGATATTTAGTATTGTCTAAAGGTTGCTCAAACAATATAAATTCCTTAGTTCATGTTTCTAGTTAGCAAGTCTAGAACATAGGCATTAAGAACATTCTATTAATAAATATCACAACAAGTGATCCTATAGTTGGGCTAATCCCATTAACTGATTTAAACCCTAACTCTAACAAGTGAACTACTCATACATGGCTAAGCAATTCATAACACAAACAAGGTAAATAAACTGCATAATACAAAGATACATAGATAATAATGGATTTCCAATCACAAATATTTCTGGATCTTCTCTCCAACTCCAAAAATCCTAAAAACCTTTTGCTGTGAAAATAAGAATACAAGAAAGTTCTCTTTGCCTAAAACACCATTGCAAAGTATAAATACTTAGGTTAAAACTCGTCAGGAGTAATCTTGTAATTCAGCGAAGTCTTGGGTTTCAAGTCGGCTGGGTTACGAATTGGCATTCACGCCTTTGGTGTCGATTGATGTCACAGAGTGTGCATCGCGATTTTAATCACTCCGTGTCGACCTCCTGTGTTGGTCGATATCCAAATCGAGTGATTTTTCTATTTCTCTCCAAAATGCTACAAAAACATCACTTTCTTCCAAAATGCTCTTGAGACTATAAATATGTTTAAAAGACTCTATAATATAATAAATAGATATTATAACACTCATTTATCATGACTAAAAGTGGGTCAAATTCATGGTATATCAACTCCCCCCAGACTTACTGTTGCTCGTCCTCAAGCAAAACAGACTGAAACTCTCTCTGAAAGAGGTTTGAGAATAGCAGGGACTCACATATTTAAAACTTTGAAATCATCACCTCTACAATATTGGAATCCACATCTAAGAAGTCTTATCACAAAAGTATATCATACCATATCCTAGCTTAGCAAAAATATTCATCTATGTAGTAACTTAGCAAATACTATCTGGCAATCCCCTCAACCAACCTCATTTCTTAACATAAATAAAAGTGCAAGCTTTACCTTGGGAGCATCGATCACATGATGCAAGGAATTTCAAACAAGTATCTGGATCTGCAGGTAAAAGTTAGTACCTATGTTTTCTCTCTTGGGTCAAAATCTGCTTTTAATGCATGATCATTGAACAAGATTGGACAGGTTTCCATGAAACAAGCCTTAATGGTGGTTGCCACCAAG